CTAATTGATGAGAAGAACAAGGTTTATTATGCAAGGCAACAGTATTTGCATACACTAATTGAATGAAATGAATAAGACAAGAATAATATGTCTCTGTCAGCATTTTTTCTTCATCATTATACACTTTTAGTTTAGATGTATGTAAATAAGTTTACCATACTAAACTAAACTTATTATCCATATTATAAACAAACTTAGCTGTTTAACATTAGAGCAACAGCTTATATCATCTATTTTGAATGAACTATCAAAAACACAAATAATAACACATTGTTATAGAACCTCACAATTGTGTACACTATGTTGCGAGAATGATTTCTGGTTGTCAACAACTATCTAAAAATTCATTCATAACAACTTGAGTTTTACAAATCGAACAAATTTAAATTATTGTAAATTTATGCAACTCATTTGTTTCAGTAAATATCATTGATAAAATGAGATTATTTTTGTCAATCAAATTCAACAACAAATTCATATAACTGTGTTCGAATCAACTATGCAGAAGCAGTAAACCGAGACTATGTAGAATGACTTATTAACGATAGCTAAATAAAATGACTTGAAAAGTATTTATACTATAAGGTCGAAAAATCTGGGCTTTCAGCTTGGCTAAATAAGTAATTCACACAACAGTCTGTCGATATTTTTGTCCTCATTGTTATATGGTCAAACGCAATTTGCGTTAATCAGATCAGTGCATAATATATTTCTGTTTGAATATATTACCCAGGCTTTTACAAAAAAATATAAACTACTTTATAATAGTCAGTAGGTAGACTTATATTACAATCATGAGTGAATTCAATGATGAGTTGAATTTCATCATCAGTGATCCAATTAATCGATTGTAATATATTTGAATTAGTGTTTTAGTTTTTTTCGTTGTTAAGATACTGTTAATCCCATAATCGTTCTTTCTCATTTAGGTAAAATGAATTTTGAAAAAGTTTCTTTTGAACAAGGTTTCTACCCAACATAGTTATATATTGCTCTCTGATTCACTGTAAATGCTAGCTCTATCCTTTTATTTGAAGCTAGTGAATCATATCAGAACATTATCTTGGCAGACAAACCGGCACACATACAACCGTAAGACTCAGGGAATAAACATTAGCAAAGTTTATTTTGCTTTTATAGTAGCAGACTTCTTTCAGAATTCTTAGTTTAAATACTGTAAGCAGAAAAGTTTGAAATCGGAAACATTTTCCAATGAAATTTAGGTGAATAAATATTTAGCACAGTGGATAAAGTTAGCCAAAGATCAATCTCAGATTTGTTGATCATACTATTGAGAGAGGCACAGATTTCTTAGTCAAAACAGATACACGAAATGAAAGCGAAAATCATAAACTAACATTAGTCCGCTCTGAATAACGAAGTATTTTGGATTACCCATATAGTTTCTCTATAACGTTCCCAGAGTAACAATTTTAAAGGAATCATTGTTCAAAGTTATTGATAAAAGAAAATGAATCAGTTCAAAATGATTTCAAATCAAAATCTATGTACATCAGAGGTTTAAGCAATCTACCAAGCCCAACATAATGTATTTGCAAGTAGTCACTGTTTCTATCTAACAAAATTCAAAAATTTTATCGCTATTACTCCTTTATTATTTTTTGATAACTATTAATCAGCCGTAATTACAGCCTTTTTTTCTGATCTGTTTTTTTACATCCGTCAAATGAACAATTACATTGATTCTGCAAAGTATCTTACTATTTTATTCATTATTCTTTATATAATTACATAAATTCCCCTTCTAGGTTTGATGATTATAAATAATTTGTTATTAGTGTCTTTATATTTTTCAAGTTGACAATTATCTTCCATTTACAAACCATGCTCACTTTGATTTACCAGCGTTCTTATGATCATTGAAAACATTGCCAGTCACCTATTACACGATGAAATAAATACCTTTATAATTTGACTGCAGACCTATGAATTCTAAATAACTCTGAATATGATTTTACAGCTCAAGTAAATGATGACGTACGAAAACGCTTTCACTGAGCTGTCTCTACTTCTTATCCAATTTAAGAGTTCAGTTACATGGTTGAAGGCAATAGTTGAGAATGACTTACTGCTAGCTAGCTAGAGCATCGTGAAGAATATAATGAGCTTGAGCGTCAACTGTGATTACTTTTGTAGATTTCTTGTCAAAATTTATTGCGCAATACTTTGAGGTGTAGATTATGATCAGCAAAACCGTGACACTAAACTAGAATACTCACTAATTTTCATATATGAGCAAATTGTTTTAGTTCATGCTACTAATAATTTGTAAGTAGTAGGAATTTTCACACCAAAAAACAAGAACTGTTGACAAACTACCTACTTTGAAGTTACAGTTGTCGTACAAAATATTTTGACAACAATTGTAAACGTGAGTGACACCATAACCCTAAGTGCCCAATTTAATTCCTTCCCACTTATTCCCCGTGTTTTATTACATGGTCTACTTCCTCACTGCTTTATTTCTATTTTATTTAATGTTAATACTTCAAATTAATTCGATGCGCACAGTTGATGAGTCCCATACTAGGAAGAGATGGCCGTCCTGTACTCTTAGGTTTATAGTCATGATCTGACAGTGATCGATTTATGATTTCAATGAAACAAAAAATAATTCCATAAATTCCAATTAGGACGAAGCACCAACTACTCTAACGAACACTGTTGGTTTTTTCATGGTTAAGGGGATTTCGATCGTAAACAAATGGAAATGTAGTGCTATTTCATGACATCACTAACTACTGAACTAAGACTTGGTAAAAGGTGAAAATTCCCCGTTAGGGGTCTACGCGATAATGATAATCAGTACTTGGAGAGAGTTAAAATCAAATGACTTCTATTTGAAGTTTGTGCTGATGTTGTTCAGAAGAACAATTAAAGCTCCCCAAACAAAACACCCAGCTCAGAGAACCAAACACCACCACCACGAAATGATATACATTTGTACTTAGTGAGGCAGATGCACTCATCTTTTATTTTTTTATTACATTTTCAGCCTCAGCATTATTTTAAGCTTTCGGTTTGTCAATTCGAATCGTTAATTCTGGACTAAATTTATATGTTCTGTGTTTTTGTAATTATTGAAACCATAATTTGAACTATATTATTTCCTACATCACAAATTTCCTCTCATTGTGCGGACTTGAGATATGACTAAGTATCAAGATGTGTATTTATGCCAGGATCCATGGTTTGACTCAATGCATGCTATTAAAGATTTCATAACGAATAATAGTTGTGTAGAGCTTAGAATGTGTGAAAATATTATGAAACAACTTCCTCTCATTAAAATAAAATACTGAACTTATTGATTTGAATTTGATTAGAATTCAATGGTCATTCATTAGAATCCACAAAGTGTCCCTATTCTCTCCACATGAGCTTAATTACACTGGATTGCTTGGAAAAAAACACTAGTTAGTCTATCCATCTTACTTGGTTAGTGAAAGAGATTCAGTTGGTATGTCAGAATATAGACAGAAAGACGGCAATAAAGTTGAGTGGTTTCCTTTCTCATCTAACATTAATGAACCATATTTCTTTTAAATTAAAAATAAATACCACTTATCTTGTAAATTTCCTGCATCGAAACTCAACAAATTTTAGAAATCGCTCAAACGTCAAACATAAACAACGATGTCATTAATTGGATCAATCAGAAATTGGCCAAGCCATAGGTGCAGGTGAGTGGTTAAGATGTGGGTTCTGTTTCTCATGGATGAAGGATATATCACTGGTAGCTTAATTTTCAAAGACATATATATCAATGCCAACTCCGTTAGTATATAAACTTCCTTTGTTACTTTCGTTCATATCACTTGAGTAGACAGTTTGTCTCGCATACAAGAAGGTTGAGTATCAGCATTAGTATCAACTCTTGGAAACCGTTTCGACGTAGTATGGGACCTCTATCTCAAGAAGAAGATTATAGGACTGATTTATGGATTATTATTGTGTATGACCTTATCGTATAGTTATTCAGTAACCAGATTATATATGTATATTCTTTTTATTATGATCTTCCGACCAACTGATTAACCGCTGTTGTGTGATTTATTATTTCTAATCTATTGCTAGTTTTCTGTTAACAGCCACTTTTGACTAGCTCATGTATAAGTGTATTTTCTTATTTAATGATGTGTCGTAGTCTGGTATGTTTGGAAGATAAACTATGCCTGCTTTAAATGTAATCTGATTTTGTGGAGGCTGGCTACAAACATCTGAACTATGAGGCAGGGTAGAAAGAAAGTGCCATCAAGTTGTGGATCATTAAGGTTTTTGAGATGACTCACAGTTTCTGAGTGCAAACATAATTTTGATTGATGTTTAGTATTAACGATTAACGGTTGGGAATACAACGGGTACCTAACATCTAAACCACTGAGCCAGAATCCAGCGGTGTTAATGTCTAAATTCAATCAATACACGATATTGCGAGACTTTATTTTACTATAAATCGAGATCAAGTAAGGAATTTTAATGAATTAAAAGAAACTCTTATTCAATATTAATTTTGTAATTTTGAAACAATAATTTCTACTAATGGATTCATCTTCATCAATTCTTACTTCTTTATTGATAACACAGGATAGAAAGCAAAAAACAACACTGACTTATTCAATATTTAATAAATACAAGTAAGTCACTAGTTCAAGAGTACAGAATATATGGTATAACTATAAATGCTTAAGCAAATCTTCAGAAAATAAAACTACACTGACCAACATAGTTAGACTTTTAAGCTAAATAATTGTGACTGAATTATAGAATTGACTAAATATATAAACAGTGTTGTACAAGTACATAGTGTGTGTATGTATAGAAGATAGTAAACGATAACTTTTTCAACAATCTTAACTAATTCAACTATTTCTTTGATTTGCCTTTACCTCCTTTCTTTCCACCCTTCTTCTTTTCATTTTTTTGTTCATTCAACTTAGCTTGTTTGTCAATTTCTCTTTGTATTACAAATCGGGGAATTAAGGAACTGTACGTGTTTGTATTAAATGTTCACTGTTTGGGAGATCACCATTTGTAGCGTTTAATAAAACCTGAATAAGTGTAGATTAATAATAATAATAATAATAATAATAATAATAATAAAAGTGGCAGAAGAATACAATGTAACGAATGAAGGAAATCATATTAAAATACTAAAAATGTGAATATGATTTAACATGAATCGTCATGGAAACTATCGAGTTATCATACTGACCCTTGTAAGACGGATACACATAGACAAAAATATAAATCTGATCAAGAATAATGGTTTTTTTTATAAACGACTAAAAGGGCTGTTTACCAACAAAAGATGAAAAACGAGTTCAAAAGGCATATAGAGATGAATAATTGTCAGTTGATGAACTCTTCATTTCTTGATAAAAATATAAGCTTCATACTGTTGAGAAACAAAACTACAAGATAAATGAAAACATCCAAACTGATGATGTATACATTGAGGCCTCTTATGAAATCAATATGAAAAGTGACTGCAAGTTAACTGAAATAGTAGAAAGGCAATAACTGAATTATAAACTAGTCGATAAGTGGGAGTTATTCTCCTGAATTCTTGTTCAGAAAGTGTTGTTAGACAAGGTAAAAGTTAATAATCAATGATAAAGCTAACAGCTAAATGACGGCATATTGCCCACCATGAAGCAACAGGATATCAAAAAAATTGAGTTCAGTAAAAATTATGAACAAACAACATTTAAGATTGGTAAATATGTAAACATCTATAGAAGATTAATAGTGTTATCATCATTCCGGATCATGTCATAATTAGCAGTATGACCGATAGTCAGTCAGCTGCAACAAAAAACTTGGTACCTCCAACCTCATTAAGAGTTGGAGGATTCACATCAACTTGCCATTCAGGTTCACTGGAAATCGTGTATAACTGAAGAGTAGCCTAAGGCCAGTTGAACTGTTCCCTAAAGAGTTCTACACATTTGTTCAATCCCCTAGATTGAGAATGAATAATAGTTCCATCCTCTTCCAAGAGTCTAGATAACAGACGGATTTCTAATAACAGTTTCTTTGACGATCCTGAACAGTTGTCTACTGTTACCTATTGCCCCTGCCTTTTCTATCTCTTTTGCTTGCGCTGCGCGCCACTGCTCATGACCATTATGTGCGTAAGGAGATGTCTAACATTTTTGCGATCGAACTCTTCTAACAACTAACGTTGTCAGAAGACAATATTGCTGCAGATGCGAAACATCTTACTCTTATCACTTGCCTGGAATGGCACGACCTGAAGGAACGTGTGTTACAACCGATATAGCTTGGTTGGGTCATCAAGATAGGTAAGCCCAACCACCTCGTCAAGTTAACAGATATGGTCAGGTACGATCAATAAAGGGTAAGGAATAGCAATAATTATGATCTGCTTTGCAAACACCTCTCCTGCCAAACTGATAAACGACCTTCTTGGATCCACGTGCGTAAGGCATATTTTTCAAAAGGAATAAGTAATAAGTAAGATTCAATAGAGAAAGATTTTGTCTTCATTCTGGTTTTAGAATGATGAATACCGTGAAGGAGCTTGGGAATCTCTAATCCAGACTTTGGTTAAGAAATTTTATAAGAACCCGTTATATAACACTAATTCTTTAAAGTTAGTAAAAGCGCTCAACTATTCATGATTAATTAACTAACTGACCTCACATTGCAGTTTAGCATTATAGCTTAGTAAATTTTTCTCGTAAGTTGCGAGTTTCATAGGTAAGATGAATATCACTTGACACTGGTCGTCGAACTATAACATCTCAGTTCTTTAGGTTATCAGTTCAGCAAAGGTACGATCAGATTGTTTCATAGAAGTTATGAACGAAATCAATATTCAATATCACTATTCTGTTCTATTCTTTTTCAATTTAACTGATTTTCAGTAAGGGTTAAAACACTTTCTCAGTTAAAGCATACTTTATCAGAAAGAAATAAGAGAAACTGGAGAGGGGTATTGTTGAACAGAACAAATCAGTGTTTCGAACAAGCTGAACTGTTGACAACAGTCAATACCAACTAGAGTTGACTTAGCAATCAAATCAACAAAAATGAAAAGTAAGCATTCAATACAGAAATGGGTACAACAACTATTCTTTAGTACGACTTACTTTCCAAGTTTCTGAATTGTAAACTGCTAAGTCAATTGGTTTGACACCACTAAGACATTCATGATTAATATCCGCTCCAGACATCAGTAAAAATTTCACCACTCTTGTATGATTTCCTTTGAAATAAATTTAACAGAATGTTGTAATTCGAATAAAAATAATCCTTACCTCTAGAAGCCATATGTAATGGTGTAGTTCCATTTGAATCCCGGGTATTTACATTCGCTTTATTGGCGACAAGAAGTTTTACTGATTCATAACTGCCATCTGTTATATATTAATTTCAAATAAATCAACAATTAAATCGGTACAATATATGAGAAACATGTTTACTTGCAGCTGCATAGTGTAATGCTGTTTTCCCGAAATCATCAATAAAGTTTACATTCACTCCATTTGCGATAGATTTGCTTACAGCTTTAATATCATCTCTACGTGCTGCTTCACATAAAATTAATTCATTTGGAAAACCCCATGGAATATATGGACCTGATTCTGATTCCGATTCAATGTATGCTGTCATCTTTTCATACTTAAGGAAAACAAAAATAGATTGTTCAATTTTGTCTAAAATCCAAGAAATTATTATTAATTATGAGAAACAAAGGATGCTGATGAATGACTAAACGTCAATCAAACAATTTACAAAAGCCTAATAATGAATGATAACTTTTTCAATTAAAGTTATGAAGATCAGTGATAAAGCACACCGAAATCATCAATTGTTAGATTACTATTATAAATCTGGAAGCACCGGATTTCTGTTTCGTCCTGGTATGTAACTCATCAGCAATGTGCACCCATGACTTCTGCTACCCGAGGGATTCAAACCCAAGACCTCAGGCCACTAGGCCGGCATCCAACAGTGTTAATGTCTCACTCCGACCAATCTAGAGATTTTACGCGACCTCAATCATTTGTCCTCTGTGGTTACTACCTACACCCTAAAGTACTGAACTCTACTGGTGTAGGCGCGCAAGACCGGTCTTGCGTTCGAATATTGCGAGTAGCATGCGTTGTGGTTGCGCGCTGTAGATGAGTTCCATACCAGGACGAAACGGCCGTCCGGTGCTTCCAGGTTTATAATTGTGATCTAACAATGATTGATTGATGGTTTCACTGTTTAAAAAATAGCTTTAAAATAGTTTGTTTTAAAGCTTATAAACCAGTGGTAATCACTTGACAGTATGAAATTGTATTATCGTACTTGCCTGGGATTTTACTAGAAGTACCTGTTGAGAAAGCGATAGGAAATCTGAAGCGAGGGAGATCTGCAGGACCTGATAGATTGACTCCTGAGATACTTTAAGGATGGTGGTCCGGTTTTATTAGCTAGATTGACTGATACCTTAGGTAGAATCTGGGAACTGGACACAATCCCAACCGACTGGTCGCAATCCCTGATTGTTCCAATTTATAAGAAAGGACAAAAGTCTTTTTGTGACAATCACAGAGAAATAAGTCTAACTAATATAGTTTCTAAATTGTTAACCTCGGTTATACCCAGATGCCTAACTAGAGCACGTGAAGAGCAAACTCGAGAAATTCAGGCTGGTTTCAGACCTTGGACGTGGCTGTATAGACCACATTTTCACACTACAAAAAAAAAAAGAACATAGACACATATTTAGGCCTCCTACAATAGTTATCTTCCTGGACCTTAAGGCGGCATTTGGCTCTGTGGATTATGAGATTCTGTGGCAGTGTCCTTCATTAAAAGGTGTACCAAAGGAGTACATCAACCTTATGAAAGCTCTCTACTCGAACACTACAGGTCGAGTTAGAGCTTATGGCGAACTGTCATCGGAATTGTTTACTTCAAATGGTGTCCGTCAAAGATGTACACTCTCCCCATTCTTGTTTTTGTCATATACATGCTTCTAGATATGAGATTATCTTCGTCTGAATTTTCAGGAGTCAACTTTCTACCAGGAAAACCGCTTGTTGACTTAGAATATGCCAACGACATAGTCCTACTTGATGAAGACTCTGACCTTCTGACCACCATAAGCGACAATACAAGCATGTTTGGCATGCGGTTTTTCCCCTCGAAATTCAAAATATTACTTCAAGACTGGGTTACATCGGCACCTGAACTAGTGTGGGAAGTGAAGCAGTTGAGCGCGTCGACCGCTTCACTTATCTCAGCAGCCTCATCAGTGCTGATGGTCTGGTGACTGACGAAATCTCTGCACGGATACAGAAGATTCGATTAGCTATTGTCAACCTGCGTCACTTGTGGCGTAGGCGAGATATCCGCTTGCTGACGAAAGGACGAGTTTACTGTGCAGTAGTTCGCTCCGTCCTGCTTTATGGCTGTGAAACATGGCCAGTCAGAGTAGAAGACATTCGTAGGTTACTTGTTTTCGGTCATATGTGTCTCCGAAGCATTGCTCGTGTATTGTGGGACAACCGAGTGAGCAATTCTGTTAGCATGAAACGGGTGCTGGGTAAGGATGGCAGGTCAATAGATGAAGTAATGTAACTTCATCAATTGAGGTGGTTAGGACATGTGCTGCGTATGCCTAACCACTGACTGCCTCGTCGAGCTATATTTTGCGGTGTAGGAATATGTTTGACGAAAGCTAGGGGCGGCCAGACCAAAACATGGGACAAATCCATGAAGTCAGTGACAAGTGGACTGAGTCATGTCAGTAGGTGTCGACTACCTGTTTGGGTCCGCGAAACGTTAGTAATCGATGGTTAGAGACCCTGAATGATATGGCTCAAAACCGATTGCAATGATGCAAGTGAATTTATTCTTTGTGTTCTCTCAAATCCTGAAATGTTTGATTCTTCATCACTTTTTCTTTGTAAGTCTATTTCACTAGATCTTACTTCTTGAATAATATCTTCTAATCCTAACCTCTCCAACTACCACTAATATCTCTACTACTATTGGATCCGCACTGACAATTACATCTCTGTGCTAATGTGGTATGGCAACATGAACTGACGTACGTGCGTACGAAGTTATACGTTGCTGTTGATTGATTGATTGATTGAGAAGTACCTGTTTGGTTCTTATATGATCGTTTGATTTGAATACAGATTGTAATAGGACGGCGGAAAGGATTTTAGAAAACAAATTTATTTCTGTCACATTCACAAGGTTTTTGCAATATAAATAGTCCTTTAATATTTTCGGCTACATTTTGAATTTAAATAACAATTAGTCCCATTTATAAATTTTAATTTTTCATGGCTAAGCTAATAGAATAATTAGGTCAGTAAATGAATAGATGGAGACGCATCAAATAAGCTAGGCAGCAGAACCCTAAGAACTTTTTTAGCTGCGTTATGTGATAAAGGTTCTAACGTGGCACCGCAATAACATGACGACTTGGTGACACTTACAACATAGTGCATATATCAGAATGAAAACGGTAAAAGTGATATAAATCAATTTTGTGATTTCCCCATTAAAAACTTACAAGGACTGATTATATATTCCATAACTTCGTAGTTAACCTCAAAACACTGTTGTCTCTTTTTCACTATAATTTTCATATAAAAGAGTAACGCATAATTTATAGGTAATTCAGTAACTCCACTCTACTAAGTGAATACTGTAAGAGTAAGGATATTCAACAAGAATGCCTATCTTCAGAAGTTAATACACCATTGGTTTTGCATAGTAAGAGTATTCTGTCGTAATCTTTGGTAACTGAAGTCCGGCACCTGAAATTATCTTTAACATCTGGCTATCTAAACTAGAACACAGCTGTATTCTGTGTCAAACAGTAGTTTGATATATATTCTAAAGAAACAGAATAAAAATAACCATAGTTATATCATATCAAAATGTCGTCAGTCCATACCAACTCATGTATTTTCGTGCACTTCATGATTAATAACGTTTTTCACGGTTACTATATTTAAAAAAGTAATTTGAGTTGCTAAAAGGTTGATGTATATGCAAGTTTGAATCGTAAATAACCTCATGCACCACCAACTTACGGTAGGCTAAAAATGCTATTTTGGAGGTGATGAGTAGAAAATGAGTAAGCCGAGATTTTCTGAATGTAGAATATAGGGTCCTAATGTCATTGATAATACCTCTTATTATAACTGACATCACTAATGGGAAAATTAGTAAACAGATAGTTAAATGCAGAGACATTTACGAGCAATACATACAAGTAGTCAGACTTAAGTGTAAATACAAGATAAAATTAAGACCGGACAGTAGTATTTTCCCTCGTTGACTTATATGGTTGGGACCACTTATAATACAAGAGGACTACAGTTTTTAGATTATTAAACTTAGTTTTAGATAAGATAACACGAAGAATTTTGCTTTTAGAAGTAAATCGCACTTTCACTCTCGTTGAATAAAAGTTTTTCTCTTTATTGAGCTTCGAATGCAGCAGTACAATATCATTTTATTGCCGAACGCTTATTCGTTTTGAATTTTCTCCTCCATATGGCTTTTATGCTATAATTTATCCTAAAATTTCTGACTGAAGACTGCAATGTCAGTCAGCTTTGACGCAGAGCTAGGTACGCACACGCATCAGTTCAAGCCGCTCTACTACAGTAACACAGACAGATGGAACTTTTTAGTTTGAATCCCATAGTAGTAGTTATAGCAGTATTAGCTCCAATCTAAAAGATCAAGGATAGAACATATAAATAGATTTAAAGAGAGAGAAAATGGTCATCAGGGATTCACAAGATTAGAATTTGAGAGAAGATAAAGAATAGATGCATTCACGCCAATGTGAACTATATTGAGCCATATCATTTAAAGCCTCTAACCACCGCTTACGATTGTCTTGAGGACCACAACCGGGTAGTCTACACCTACTAACATGGCCCAGCTCACTTGTCACGGACTTCACGGAATAATATTATGTTTTGGTAAGGACACCACTAGCTTTCTTCCAACCTGCCCCTATGTCAGACGAAACCGCTTGTCGAGGTATTCGGTGGTTGGGCGTATGTATTATATATTCCAACCCCCTTAACTGACCAAAACTCAATACTTCATTAATTCATCGGTCATCCTTACCTAGTAACCTTTTCCCAAACCCAGCATTGCTTAATTGATGATCCCAGGATGTACGACCGATGCTCCAAATACACCTATGATTGAATACTGAACAGTGAAAAACAAGCGATCCCCAGCCACGTAGGTTTCTTCCGTGAGCAGTCCCTCACGTGGCAGCAGTCAGGAAAAGCACAATCGTAAAACTATGTACGTTCCTAGCAGGGAAAACAATCAGCAAAAGATACGCTGAATTGTTTGGTTTACCGCTGTTTAAACTATGAGGCGATCAAGGTTTAGTTAGACAGGTTTAACAATTATCCAATATCCAATATCTTTATCACGAGCTAGTATAATCCGATTGATTTCTTTGAGCTCAATTCTTCTTTTTTCGGTACGGTTCCAGGTGTTCGGTAGAGTTCAATCAATTTTGGTCCAGCCATTTGACTGTCTAATTCTAGTCAGTTGGTTGCGAGTTTGTATGTCTCGTGATTTGATTGAATACGTTTGTTTCAGGGCATTAGGTATTCTGA